CTCCAAGTGACTCTGCACCATCTCAGGGTCTATGCATGGTAGTCTGGCGCCTTCCTGCTGCCTCTCTACAATCCCAGTGAGAGACTTGTCTTGCCCCTCACTTAGGAACACTGAGGCAAAGAACTTGTTGAGGAGTTCAGCCTTGTCCCCCCTGTCTGTCACCAATTGCTTCTGCCCATTTAGTAGGGGTCCTATTCCACCCTGGGCCTTCCTTTTACTCCCTATATATCTAAAAAACAATTTTTTGTTATCCTTAACTTGGGATGCCATCCTCAGCTCCATGGTAGCTTTGGCCCATCTAATTGCCTCCCTACAAGTGCGAGCAGAGGAGGTATACTCCTCTTTGGTAATCTCTCCCTGTTTCCACTTTTTATGTGACCCCCTTTTGGCCCGGTGGCTGCCCTGGATTTCTCTGGTCAGCCAAGGAAGCCTCCTGGCCCCTTTCCCTCTTTTTCCTCACATTGGGATCGATTCCCTCTGTGCCCGAAGGATCATTTCCTTAAGCCACAGCCACCCTTCCTGGGCTCCCAGGTCAGATCCACCCTAATCCCCATCCGTGTAAATGTGGAAGAAAGCAAACATAATTTTAAATAAAATAACTCAGACAGGAAAGACTTTCAGCATCTGCTCACTGTGGGAGGAAACAAGTAGATTAACAATCTTCAGAGCAGCAGCAATGAGTATATAAGGATGGGTTATTTATACAGCTCTTATTTTTTACATGCAGATTTCCAGTCCAGAGAGATCCTGTGCTACAAATGAAGCTAGACCAGCTGTCATCCGATCAGTTATCTTCTTTGCAAGTGATAGCATCTTTTTGATGTAACCAGGACAGGTTAATGAGGAACTCCACTGATCTGTAGCTTTTTCTTTCGGCGAGAAAGCAAAATAGTACTCTGTAAATGAAGTGATACTTCTCTTGCATGTGAAAGACAGGTTTCTCATTTTAACTTCCTAGTTTAGCTTACTCTGTTCAGTTGCCCATGATAATGTACACATTGGGGGTTGTCAGAATAAGAAATGTGAAAAGCTAGTAGCATAATTTTCCTTTCCCCATAGCAAAGATTTGTTTCTGACATTCCTAGACATGTGACCATATATACAAACTTAATTATCTGATATATTTGAAATTTCATTTTATCTTCCAGAAGCAAAATCTGATTTCTGTATTTCAATAAAAGGTTGAAAATTTTGCCTGTGGGAAACTGGAAAGCTGCAAACAACTTATAAGGATGCCTTTCATAACCACCAATGTTCCCACTGCATACTGAATATTGAAGATATTGCTGTATGTGTTGATAATTTTGTAGAAACTTAAAATACAAGTGGCCTGACTCTTCCATTACACCATTTTTATCAAAATGCATTGCCATTGATTTGCAGTGTAGTTATGCTGGTATAAGATTAGCATGTGGAGTGATGAATCAGCCCTACAAAAAGACTTGCTGCTATTCAGCAGTGTAAGTACTCTCTATACAAAAGATCTCACTTATAAAATTATTCATAACAACTAAGAAAGGATGAGAAATACTCACTTCTTTATTAGCTGCTAGATTAATAATGATGATTTTTCATTAGAGCTGAAGAAAACATTGGGAGATTTAAAACTCTTGATACTTTTTCTTTGAAGATTTCTGAAGTTTATATGGCAGACAAGGTTCTTTGGGTAAATCTGCTATCTTTTATTAGACTAACCAAATAGTTGGAAAAATGTTTTCATAACAAGCTTTTGGGTTTAAAAACCTTTCATCAGGCTGAGGAAGCATCTGCAGTTGGTATGTGCTCTTCCAACTGCAGATGCTTCCTCAGCCTGATGAAAGGTTTTTAAACCCAAAAGCTTGCTAAGAAAATGTTTTTCCAACTATTTAGTTGGGCTAATAAAAGATATCAGATTCACCCAAAGAACCTCGTCTGCTTATGTCCTTAGATCACCATGGTTACAGCCTACACCCCTGAAGTTGATATTTATTACTCTCACAAGATGGGAAACCAACTTTCTTGTTGGCAGACCATTGAAATGCAGAAGTTGCACCATCTTAAACTAATGGTATATTTGATCCATGATTTTTCCTATGTTGTATATACATAAATGCAAACTAGTTCAATACCAAAGATCCTTTGAGAAGATCATCAAGGAGCACATCTGTGATGGGCCAGCATCGGGGATGATGATCAAGGGCAACCAGCACGGTTTCATTAGGGGCAGGTCATGTCAGACCAACCTGATTGCTTTTTACGATCAGGTCACAAAAGCATTGGATGCAGGTGTTGCCGTGGATGTAGTCTTTCTGGACTTCAGCAAGGCCTTTGACACTGTCGACCACCCCATCCTCATTAAAAAACTAGGCGACTGTGGCATCAATGCCTACACAGTCAGATGGATTGCAAATTGGCTGAAGGGTCGTACTCAGCGGGTGGTGGTGGACGGGTCATATTTGACCTGGGGGGAAGTGGGCAGCGGAGTCCCCCAGGGCTCGGTCCTTGGGCCCGCACTGTTCAATTTCTTTATCAGCGATGTGGATGATGGGGTGAAAAGCAACCTGTTTAAATTTGCTGA